AGCCTAAGACCTACGTGATTAAATCTGGCATTCTTTCTCTTTTACCTTGGTCAGACCAAGTTACTGATTCCACCACATCTGAGTGATACCTTAAGCCAGTTACAGATATTGAGTCCTACACTCTCAGAATTTTGCTGATATGAAGATATTCCAAATAAAAGGCATTTGTTTGAAAAAAAGCTTTCAGTGAATTGCAGAACAAGACAACATCTTCATATTCCTGTCACTCTTAACACTGATAATAGACATCCATTTTTTCATTGCTCCACTATTCTAAACCCAGATGGAGCTTGGAGAACAAGTTACAAGAAATGTGTAATACACACAACTGGAGACTCGAACTCTGTGCTACTGCCAACTCCATTAACTTTACTGAAAAAGGAAGGTAATACTTTTAGCTGTTCAAATCAGTACTTACTAATTTCTTCAAGCAGTGTTTTATATTTGGAGAATAAGTGCTTTGAAATTCATAAATTGATGGTAGTGGTGCATTCAGTGGCATCTATCCCCTAACTTCTGGACTATAGGTTACTAGATGTTCCAATTTGTAACTAAGAGCTACTTCTCTGAAGTTTAGGAACTGTTGGAAGTGTAATTAAACTATACATTAATAATTATATATAAATTTAATGGAAGTGGACCATTGCGACTGACAAATAAGTGACACGCTGACTTTTCTTTAAACTACGGAAAGCCTTGTTCCTGTTTCTGCTGTAGGCTGGCTTTGTAACCTTCCTCTTGTGTTTGTCACGTCATAGCTGAAAGCTAAAACACTGTGGCAAACACCATTTTTAAAATGCGTGTATGATGAAGCAATATTTGTTTTACAACTGTTACTACCCTTTTTCATGAAAAAGGAAATGCAGTGCTTTAGTTGCAAAATGAAACACATTTTGTCAGAGCTATATTCAATTGGAAAGTCTCTTTAATGCAACTGTATTATATAACACAAAGTTACAATTTCAGATCACATACTTCTGATCAGTAAGTAGTAATAACTGTTTAAGTCAGATGGGAATCTGAAATACATCATTGGATTGGGATCTTAAATGCTATTAAAGCTACAGTCAAAGCGCAGCTTGGCTCAACTTGTCCAATATGCTTGTATTAAGGTAGTCAGACTCCTGTTAGAAGTTTAAATACTCACATTTAATTGAAATTTAGATTAAAAAGAAGACATTAGGTACATCATTCATGCTAACAGTTGTACATAGTGGTGAGTCAAGAACAGAAAAACAGTACCACAAATAAACCATGGCTCAAAACCTACTGTAGCTGGATTGCTGCAGCCACTCTTCCTGTACCGAGGAGCTGTGTATGCATTGCTGCCATGCTCTGCTTTTGTTGGACTCTGCCCTTTCCTTGAGGTGCAGGCACCAGTGCCCATGGCTTTCAAGGAAGGCCTGAACTCCTCTCCATTTACCACTAGGATGTGGGAAACTCCAGTGCGGGGGGGGGGGGGGGGGGGGGGGGGGGGGGGGTGGATAACAATGCAAAATGGAAATTATTTGGCTGAAAAAAAAAATATATCTCAGAATCCAGAGAACTTTATTGAGTAAAATAGATACAAAGGTGATATAGACAACCCAGAAAGAGCTCAGTAGCAATGTTTTTTGCAGTGCCACATTACAAATAAAGCACACTAAGAAACCTTGCTGAGCTTTTTGAGTGTTAATGACAAGAGGTGGACACAGCTTCACACTGGAAGTGTGTGTATTCTGAGTAATTCAAATCAATCTAGAAGATATTTTTGTTAAATCTTCAAGCTGCTATTACTACTGTTGTATTCATCTTCAACATCAGTGATTTTATTGCGTTGCGCTATATCCACACCACCAAACTCCAGCCACTTCTTCCCTGGGAAGTCCCTTTTCCCATCACTTGTTTAAAAGCAAAAACTTTAAAAAAAAAAAAAAAAAAAAAAAAAAAAAAAAAAAAAAAAAAAAAACAAAAAAAAAAAAAAAAAAAAAAAACCAATAAAATAACCAAACCCCCCCCCCCAAAACCCACTCCTTGTATTGCACATCTCACACAAGTCTGTGTATATATATATAATATATATATATTTAAATATGCTACAATTAAAAAAAAGGTCTATGGCACTTTATTGAATATAAGTTTTAAGAAGTTGATGAAACCACAGATGTTTGAAGAAATCTTCAATACCACAAAACAAAGTTAAACTGAACTAATTGGCACACAGGTTTTAAAGAATCCACAGCAAATTCCTCTAGATCCTATGCAGTGCATGTACATTAAGAAGCAGTTACACTCTACAGCCCCCTCATGAAATCAATTAAATTAGCTTTAAGCTGATTTTGCTTTTTTCTTTCCCAGAGTGCCTTTGAAAGCTACTGCTGAGGTGAACTTCAGGAGCAATTTATACAGCTGTGAAATTTAATGAGTGCACCCTGCACCTGAAAACCTCATCCAGGAAAAAAAAATCCCTATATATACCACCTTATCACTTGCTAGTAAAACAGAACCCTGAGAAAAGAAATTCTGATTATTTCTCCTCTGTATTTCTTCCCAGCCTGTCTTCTGTCTGTACTATGTGATGAACATGGATATTCTTGCAAGTTAGTTAATTATGCTGTTGCAGAGCAAGCTGATAATATATCAGCAACAAGCAGAAAAGCTGGTTCTCCTTGGTTACGAATGCAAACAAAAGCAAAATGTGCCACTGAAAATCTCTTTAAAAAATCAAGCCCAAACAAAATGTACTATTGAGTTTTTTTTAAGCATCATGTATATCACAGCAGAGGTCAGCTAGTAACATGAATGAAGGTTGTTCATTGTTTACTTCTCAACCAGAGCAGAGTATGCTCTCTCGACCTTTTTAAGGACTAACCTGACCTGATTCTGGCTAATCAAGTGCTTAAGCCAGTGCAGCATTTTTCACCCTAATACTGTGTCAAGACTTGTTGGCAGTGGTGACCTGGACTTTGGATTGCTACCCACCTAAGGAAGCTAAAACTGTACATCTGCTTAGTAATTAATTTTTAGCTGGTTTATATGGTACTCATACAAGTGCGTACCCCCTCTTTCCCAACTGCAGGGCCCTGGAGGGCAGGGCAGAGCTGAGCTGGTGGCCCAGGTTCAGCGCATGCTCCAGAAGGGGCTCAGGAGGTATGCCTGGAGGAAGCCTTGCTGGACCCCAGGACAAGCCCAGTGCATGTCCTTCAGGTGTGGGGGATGTGTATGGGGCAAAGCCAGCGAGACACACAGGTGTGGACAGGGTGTGTGGGTTCTGATTTTCACCCTCAAGCACCACTTCATGCTGGTAATTTTGCTTTATTAAAATCTTGATTTGTCCAGGCAGTTGGTCCCAGACCGTAACTTTTGGAGGGGATTTAAATTCAATATTTAAAAGAACAGTGAGTTCCCTGTTTTAAAGTAGTTGATGGTGGATGTGGGTTGCAGGAGCAGGTGAATGCAAGAAGAGGCTAGGTTAAAAAAATCCCTTTTTGAATACAGGCAGAAGTTGACCTTGTTGCAGTGCGTCTCAGAGGTCACCTGTGTATCTGTCCAGCGCACAGGTGGCAGGTGCCATGGGCACAGAGGCACAGGAGCTGCTCTGTCACTGTGGTGGGCAGCCGGCGCTGGAAGGGGACCCCAGCTCCAATGCTCACCAATCCTCCAGGCTGCCCGGGCCCGCCGGCAGGACTGCTGAACAGCTCTTGTCTTGTGAAGCACATCAGCAGTGCCTTGAGAGCAGCTGCCTTCCTGGACAGTAACAACCATTTTTTAATAACTAATGGCACATTTTAAGGGACTGACCAGGCAAAACCAAGAATCTCTGCTCTGTGTAATAGTGAAGCAATACTGTCACTAGATGATGTTAAACTACCAAGAAATAAGAAAAGGAATTTAAAATTCACCTAGTATTTAATTAGAACTACTCAGATCAGTTATCCCCAATGCTCCTATGGCACAGTTGCATCATTCCTTTGTTAAAATACCTTACAAACTTCGTATCAGAAGTAGTTCTAGTAAGTGAGGCAACACTACAAATAACACAATGAGCTGGCTTTGAGAAAAAAATGGTATTTGTGGCAATGTCTGTTTAACTTCTGCAGATTTAGTTGGAAAAAGGTCTACTACTATACACACAAAAAAAAGGAAAAAAATCTTTCCAGCCACATAGAATTTGTAAAGGCTTCCTGAAAAATTTAAATTTCCTAAAGACTCATGTGCGTCTGGGTCATGAGACAGACTGATCTGTAGACTGGGAATGAAGTTTCACTGACGAGAGAAAAAGTACAACGTTGAATTACAATGTGGAATCCACAGTTGTAGGAGAGGTTGCAGCCCAGATAAGGCTGGTACTGTGGGGAGCTGTTGTCTGCTTGGGATATCAGAAGTTTTAATAAAGGCTGTAGAAATATTTCAGTTTTATCTGAATCAGGTGAGAGCCAGTCTAAGAACATCTTCTCTGTCTAGTCAGTGGAAACAATATTTACCTGCTAAGTAATAAGTTGCACACACCTTGTGCTCTTAAGTTTCAAGAGAGAGAAACCTGGTAAGGACTTGACTTTCTAAATGACTTAAGATTGGTGTAAATGTCAGGTTTGCTCTCTCCAACACAGAGTTAATATCCAAGAAGGCACTGTACTTCTAGGAAATTCACTACCAAAAAGCACCTCCATGAAAATGGTACCAAACCAGGTGATGGTAAAGAAATATTCACCAGTGAGGGGAGCCCTTGGAAACAAAGCCTCATTAAAATAGGCTTCTCTTTTGCTTAAAAAAAAAAAAATGTGCTGGCTTTTATTATTTTAAACGCAAATTCTTCAAAGTGACCAAGGTGGGTTAGGCAATCCGATCAATCAGAATTTTTCAGTTTTAACAACATTCCTGTTATATACATGTGATTACTCACATCCCCAGTCGGATTAATATCACTGTGTCCTGATCACAGAATGAAACTAAAAATATCCCCAAGTATTTACATTCTGCTTTCTTGGGATCATTTCTCTGATCCTCATTGCCCAGCAAAGAAGAAAGACCCTTTCAGTAGTTCAGGGTTGGAATGCATGGGGCTCAATGACACAAATGGTAAAAACAGGTAAATGGATCTGCTTGCCCAGTCAATGGAAAGCAGACAAAGATCCAGGTGCTGGTATTTTTCCCCACTGGAGTTAAAGGAGGCAGATAAGGTTTTTTCCTTCTTCTATTTCTTCTTGCACTTTGTCACTGGATGTGGCTATTTCAGCTTGCGCCGAGAAGACTGCACAGATGAACGTCAGAACAGTGCCGCCGATAGCTGTGTAGAAAGCCCAGCCCAAGGAGCAGTCTCCTAGTTTGTAAGCAGAAGCATAAGGTCCACAATAGCTTATCGCCTTCTGGCATCCCCAACCTGCAGGGTAAAGTATCAAGCCTAAGATAAGGAAGAGCCCTAGAAGTAAAAACAGAAAGAAGTTTTACAAACAATCAGTCTAACACCAAATGCAGCACATCTAGTAATTGTTATTATGGTCACTAATACTCATAATTTACCAAGATTAGGAGAAAACTGCCATCTCATCCATCCAATCTTCCTTTACTGATTGTTCCCTAGTATATGCCATGCAGTCTTCCAACTAAACTTGAAGCTACCCTGTGATTTATGTTGTGAAAGGGTTATTTTTTATGATAATGGCCTAATTCCTTACTTTAATCTCTGTACTCCTCCTTTCCTCTCACACATTATTGCCACAAATACAGAGCATGCAAAATATTCAAGCATCTCCACCTACTGCTTATGCTTGCACTTCTCAAAAATGTAGGAATATTTGCATCTACTTTTGATTTTGTATTTAGCTAGCCCTCATTTAGCTTTATTTAGCCATTCACCATAAACGTTTGCCTGTTTTCCTCTGGATTTTGCCTACATTGATTTTCTTGCCTGGAAAAAACCAAACAAACAAAAACCAACAACAAACAAAACCCTACCCCAAAACAAAACAAAACAAACCCCAAAAAAAAGACCCCAAATCACAAAAAAAACCAGTTCCAGTTCTACTTTTTTTGGCCACATTAGGATATAGTAGAAAGATAATACTGCCAGTTCACTAAGCTGCTCTCATAACAGAGGGATTCTGGAGTCAGCCTCAAACAAACAGATCCAAGTATCCATAGCCAGTGCATAGGTAACCCTGGGATGCTCCAAACAGTTGACTTCAGAAGGAAAGCACTTTCCCAGTGATGGCAGGGGCAAAGGCCTCAACTCCCCATCTTGCTAAACACCCCCAACAGTCCGGTGTGCCTCAGGCTGGAAGTGAAAAGCCCAGACTAGTTGTTCTGCCCATGTGATTTTCTCTCGTATGCACAGGTTTCTCTATGAAGACCATCTAAGCAGTGAGGGGCTTCATTAAGGAAATTGAAAGTCACATTAGTGTCCCTGCACACGTGTCTTTGCACACAGAAAGGAGATTAATCTTAATGTCTGATATGCTAGTGGCTACAGTGCTTTTTCATGGGCACTAAAAAAAATCACAATGCATTAAACACATACCTCCTTTCTACAAGGAATGTAAGAAGGAGCTAAACATAAGAATAGCTCACAGTATCAAAATTTTCTTTCTGTTTACCTTAAAAATTTACTTAAAAGGAAAATAATGAAAAACAGTTTTTGTTTAAATACAGTCAGTTTATCCAGAAAATTAATATAGCTTTCCAGACCACATAAATATTTCTGATTTACTTTTCCTGCACTTTAGAGGCCTTTATTTAACCTGGTATGCTGATGAAAACAGCTGCTAGAAGTGCTGTCACCATCTAGAAGTAGGCTAAAAGTTGTGCACTAAAGCCAGTCTTTTTTTTTTTTCCTGTGACCAAGAGATTACAAAGAACAGGTTTAAAGACTTGTTTTCATCTTCTTCCATTCAGTTAGACTAGCAGTTAGACTTCTCTACAGTATGTTAAGCATTCCTTATTTGTTCATTCAAAGAAATTTGGCCATTTTGGCATGACATTTTCCTCATCAACAATGAAAATGTGGGTCCTAGCTAGTAAGCAGTTAATTTACACAAAATGCAAAAACCATCATCCAACTGTCTAAAATTAATGTCTGTGAATGCCAGACATTTCACAAAAGAAAGTCCTTCCTCCAGCGTTTTTCTAATGATGACACAACACCATGGGCATGAATGACCTAAATGTCATTACTCTTTGGGGCGGCAAAATCCATTAGTGAGTGATATCCGTTCTCTGTGGAGGGATTTCATCACTGCTTACATTTAAGAACCAGTGACAAATTTTATGCAGTGTTTCCTGGCTGGTTGGCCAAATACATTAAGTATAAAGTATTGCTTTATCTTGGACAGACCTGGATAAGCTGTGCATTCATCCTGCTGAGCCCTACAGCCATTTCAGACTAAACACCAGCAGTTCCTTCTCCCCTATTCATCACTAGTTTCCTGTTCTGCACAACCAGTATGATCACGCTGTGTATCTTTCTGACTGCACACTGGTATGGGCCAGTTGCTGCTCTCTCTAACAATCACAAGCCCTTTGGTAGGTAAAAATCGCCATCACTGAATTAAGAAGCTGGATCTGAAATGCCAGCATAGCTGCTGCCAACACAGAAGTTTAAAAACTTTTTAAAAGTTTACCACTCCATCACTCACAAACCTAGACAGCCCGTGTTTAACAGCAAACCCAGCTTATGGCTCAGTGTCACAAACAGGACCAAGAAGACACATCCATCACTTTTTGTCAAAACTAGAGCACTGGGCAACTCCTAAAAGCTACTGGTTCATGGAATATATGCCCCAAGCTGAAAAGCCATTATCCAAAACTCAGGCTCTCAAAAGGCACAGCACAGCTGCCAAATGTAGTCATCAGGACTTTACTGACTTAGACCTTTTTTTTCAAAAGTACAGAAAATTCCTGGATATATAAATATAATAAATACTATAAAAAGCCACAATTTGATAAACTTCATCTATTTTCTCACAGATGGAAACAAAATATGGAGGAAAGCCTTAACAATGGATTTGAAGACAGTCAGAGTGCGTACCTGATTTCAGACAGCTAACTTTGTAACTCCTATACTGGACCAGCATAATGAAACAAAAAAAAAGTAGTATTTTCACTACCGAACCTCCTTCCTACTTCTCCATTTCAGTGCAGACAGAAAGTGTTTCATGAGCATCTTAGCACTGTCTGTAATATTTATCACAATTTCTTATTTCATTAATAACTGGTTCCTGCTTGACAGGAAAAGTAAATAAAGATGTCAATTCCATTAAGACTATTCAAAATACCCACAGGAGAAAGGCACTCTTTGGTTCATGCTAACAGCAAGGGGAGAGGCACAGGCCCCTCATCACATATTCAGCTCTAAGCTCCCACATCCAGAGCAATGGCTGAGCTGTGCAGCTCCCTTCCTGCCTCTCCCCATCATCCCAGAAAGGAGTGTTCAATTGAAGAGCAGCTTTGCTTCCTGCCACCCAGTATCTCAGAAGAGACAGCCGCAGAGCCCATCTCAATGACTCCTACAGCTGAACAAAACAGGCAGATGATGCTCCACCACACACTAATAGTGCAAACCATTGCCTAAACAGCTTGAAACAGCAGACAGCAAAGCAAAGCAATTAACTGTTCAATTACTCGCAGCCAGACACCCCTCAAAAAGAACCACCCACTCTATTCCTGGAAACATGGATGCAAAGGAACAAGGAGAAAAAAACTATCTTCTGTTGACAGTTTGCCTTGAGACATATCCAGCAGGAGGACAGTAAATATTAATTATGGAAGTTTTTTCCTTAATAAATCAGTTTTTGTTTGTCCCTGTGTCTTTGAAGAGAAGCCAGTACTCAAGAAAAAGAACAGAGAATAAAAATTGTGTGCTCTGTCTGAACAAGTTTTCTACAATAAACGTCTTCAGTTCTTTGTGCTGCTGTACAAGAAATTATTTTTAATTCACAGCCAACCTACCTGTGGAATTATTGCTGTTTGTTCACCCTGCTGGGAGGAAGAAATTCACTCTGAAAATATTACAAGCTGTTTTCCACTGTGCTCATCTACAGGCACATCCACAGAGTTCATGCTTGCGCTGTCCTAGATTTAACTGCCTCTCTGGGCACAGCTGCACTGCTGAAACTGCAGCTTCTGCTGTACACATACTGCTGTTCCTACTTTTTAAGTAGCACAATCCCACTTCTTGAAATCAGTATGATTCTTTTTCAAAATTTCCTTTTTGTTAGTTGTTGCCAGTTCTCAGTTACCTCTTCTCTGAGGAATCCTCAAAACAGAGGTATGAATGTCACACAATGTTGCCATATGCCTAGGAATGACAACAGAGAACTATTCAAATTACTTTCAGGGTAATTCAGAGACCTCACCTATAACTCTTCGGTGTAAGTTCTGTCAGCAGAGAACATTTTTACATCTTTCACTGAAGGAAATTTCACCATATAACCTTTTATTATCAGGCCCTAATTACTTGCTTTTGAAAAGATGTTTTTGTGAGATTTAGATTTTAATGTTACTATTCGATTACTACGTATCTCCTGATTACAACAGCTTATTAAACATCAGGCATTCTTTACTTAAATGGTGTAAAAGCAACTCCTTTCTCCTAAAACACCAAAGCAAAACCTTAGCACACTGAGAACATCAATATCAATATAGAAAACTGAATCACTGTGCAAAAATATTTCAGAAGACAGTTGATTAATGCTTTTCCTATAGGAGAAGACTTTTTGTATTTCTGCACCAAGAACTTCCCCTTTTAAAGGCCTGCAGCTGCACCAGGCTCCTCCTGGTTTTTGTACACTGCAGCAATGCCGCCAGGTCAACATTGTGGAAAACCAACAGACCAGCCTTTCACTGTGGGCATTTTTATGTCACATTATGAGCTGGGGTTCAGATCTGAGTAAAACCTTTCTTCTTCCTTGGAAGCAGCCCTTGGGACAGGAGGTAGGGCAGAGGCTTGTTTAGCCAGATGAAGGCATGCTGTTTAGTTCTGACAGTCTCCTGTGCAGCTGCTGTTGTGCCATATTAAACAAGAGCATATACTAACAAAACCACTTTCCATTGCAAAGCCTGAAACTATCTACTCATTTCCTAGCAAAATAGTGAAAAAAGCTTTTAAATAGTGCTGAAGAAACAGGAAATTAAGCAGCTATGATCAATGAGGTGGCACTGCAACGGGCTCCTATGGAGCTGCACAACTGAGCAGCAATATTTTAAGAGAGGAAAAGAAAAAGGGTAAAAGGGTAAAAGCAGGGAGGGACTAGCTTTGCAGTGCAGCACAGGTGGGCTGCATCCCCAGTGGCACTGATCCTGATTGTTTTAACCCTCTGCAAAACCACAGGGTATTAAGAATCAGTCCAGGGACACTGCATCAGCCAGGCACCCTGCCTTTTTTGGTCACTTTTCCATGTGTCGATATGCTACCTGAACATTTCA